AGCTTGTCGAACTTGATTTGACAGCAGTGGTCACTGAGTTTTAGCAGCGATTGAAGGTCAGTCTTAAAAGCAGGACTTGGTCGTTTTCTACTATGCGAACACTCATCGCCAATTGGATTATTCAGATGACGTACTTGATGTGAAATTGACTTTTCGGTTTGAATTTATTCAAACCAAACTTCTCCAAAGCCACTATCCGTTTCCGAGAGAAATAGTTTCGATCCTGACTCAGGAGTTAAAAAACAGATTACATATTCACTTAATGAAATCGAGCAACAAACAACTTTCACACATCATTGCGAAGAAACTTCTGAAAAACTTAAATACAAACGCTACACAGTGAATTTATTCCAAAACATAGAGGAGTCGCTAGCACTGATTATTTGAAAACGCTTTTAAGCCGTAGAAAGTTCATCTTAATAATTCTGATACGGATCTAAGGAAAATTTTTAGGCTTCCGTTTTTGCGATACTAAATTTGCCTCAAAGTAAATTGCTGTAATCATTTAACAATCTTGAAAGCTATCAACATACAGCACTATTAGCCATATTTTCAGGAGGTTTATGATTCTTTATATAATGTTTTTTCATATCCGCCTTGAGCTTGGTCAAATACTCACAAATGTTACATTTCATGATTGCTCCACCAGTTATATGCTTCAAATTGATATGTCGAATAACATTATTTTTCCTTGCTGCTTTATAACCGCAAAAGTTTTCTAAATCTTGAGTGGTCGATACAAAATCCAGCGCGTTTTGCTGGAAACTAGGAGCCACTTGGAAGCTCTGAGCCTCAGTAACTTTGGAACTCGAGACTTTTTATTTTACTCGTAGAACTATAAAGTTGCCCTGCATATGCACGCTTTCGATTTGGATTTACAACCTTTCTTTCAGGGGACTTGGAACAAATTTCATCTTTTGGAGTTTGACAAGATTGAACTTCTAGAAATTCGAGACCCATTTCCAATTGGCTGAGGAAGAACTTAATCGATGTCCTGTTTTTATTGTCAGGAATGAATAGGTCTTCAAAACAGAATGAGATGCAAATGCTGTCCTCTTTTTTTTCATTCATTGTGAGAAAAATCTGAAAAACTTGGAAGAAAATTGCGCAAAAATATTCATTTTTTGTAAGTTTAACTTTTGTTCCCGGCGAGTTATAAATCTCAGAAGTAACTATTTTAACACTATGACACCGGACATTGTTTTTTGTAACTGGAACATCCATTTCGAGACAGTCAGGCGCTATATAGGGAAAACAGCGGATTCTTATCTGTCTTTAAAAACAATTTCACTGACTGCCATTGATCAATAAAGAAGAAATTAATTTGCTTCTGTAAATAACAATCTATGATTCCATAAATTGCAATCAAAATAGCAACTTGATCTATGGTCTAAGTGTTCATCCGGTGATAATCGAAGCTAGCTTTAGTATTTTCGCAAAGGCTATTCTCATGCGCGACAAAAGGACCGAATGCCCGACAATTCTCAACCAATCAACACCCTTTAAGCTCCAAAAATAACTGATTTTATCGCTCATTTTCTTCTAATTTATGAATGCTGGATTCTAATTGTATGACGTATTTTTTCGGCGCATTAGGCCTTGCGTGCATGAGGGATTCCCCCAATTTCTCTAGAAGGGAGGTAGTCTATCCATTAACAGCACTGATCGCAAGAGATTCTGGGAGCTTATGCTTACTCATGTAGTGCGTCTTCATGTTGCCTTTTAATTTCGCCGAGTACTCACAAAGTGTACACTTTATAACAACCACATCTGATAAATGCTTTGTCAGAACATGTCTTCCCAAATTACCCTTATCCTGATTTTGCACTCCGCAAAACTTGCACGTGAACGTTTTCTTTCCTGTTTCGAGAGATTGAATTGCTTCAATGAAATCAGCGGGTTTCTGAACGAAAGTTCCGTTGACTGTTTCGGCAAGATTTTTGACGCTATTGGATGCTTTTGATTTGGTGTTTGCACTAACTGCCGTTATAAGCGGTCGCTTCCTGCTAATGGATTGGGCCAAGTTAGCAGGCTTGATGAAATCGACATTACCTTTAAATTCGCTCAAGCTCAGTTTTCCAACTGAAGATTTGAAATCAGAGGTGAGGAACCATTCAGTTTCAGGTTCCAAAAGGTCGGGTTCAAAGTTGATAGAGATGGAATAAAATTCTTCGTTCGAGTTCATCTTAACCTGAAGTACTCACTGTTCATTGTAATTTAGAATATGCTTGTTCTCATCGGCGGATGTGCAACAAACCGCCCTAGCTTGAAGCCGAAATTCCATCAAAATCACGTAACAATTGCATAACAACAGTGGAAACTTTTTGCTATTTTGCATAAAAATATTAAGTTTCGGCTTGTCGGAACGGTAATTTTATTTTCGGCTTCTGGCCTACTAAAATATTCATCAACCGTCAAATGAATAGTTAAAAATTTTAAGAGCTTTTATTTTACAAATGAAACGCATCAAGTAAAATATGCCTACTCTAAAAATTTGAAATGACATCTCTTGATATATGTACTATAATTATCTATCACAAACTAAACGAATTAAATTTGCACATAGCAAAAATCTGAAACTTTTTAGTTCAAAGCACTTTTGGCTAAAGCTTCGGGCAAGCTATGCTTACTCATATAATGTTTTTTCATATCACCTTTCAATTTACACTGATAGTTACAAAGTGTACAATTGACCATTGGAACATTGGATAAGTGCTTTGTTAGAACATGTCGTCCCAAGTTACCTTTATCCTGATTTTGCGAGCCGCAAAATTTACAATTGAACATTTTCTTGCCTGTTTCGAGCGACTGAACTGCTTCGATAAAATCGGCAGGCTTCTGAGTGAAACCTACAGTTGAAGAATCCGGAAGGTTTTTGAAACTGCTAGAAGTCTTTGGTTTGCTAATGATATTTACCGAAGGTGCTATTGGTCGCTTTCTCTTAAGTGGCTCATTCATTTTCGGAGAGTTGATTAAACTTGGAATGACTTTTACTTCAGCAACGCTTATTTTTCCAATTGCTGCTTTGAAATCAGAGGTCACGAACCATTCAGATTCAGATGAAAAGAAATCCAGGTCAAAATTTAAAAAGATTGAAAGAAACTCCTCATTCATTTTACCTGAATCGCTCAAAGGTTTACATTAGTTTAATATTTTCTATGGCAGACATTATCAGTGAAACTTCAAAGTTATGATCGAAAAAAAACTTGTAACATAAGCAAAGCATTAAATCATCAAAAACTATATCTAACAGTGGGCTAAACTTTGACCGGCTGAGTCAAACGAGCATCAAAGGACTTATTTAGCTCACTGCACTTTTCGCTAATGCTTCAGGTAAGCTATGCTTGGACATGTAATGTCGTTTCATATCGCTTTTCATTTTCGACTGATGACTGCATATAGTACATTTGACCATCGGCACATTCGACAAATGTCTGTGCAAAACATGACTGGCAACTTGAGCTTTGTTCTCCCTTTGCAGCCCGCAAAACTTACACGAGTGCATTTTGCGCCCTGTTTCTAACGATTGAATAGCCTCGATAAAATCATTCGGTTTCTGAATGAATTCCCCTGAACTTTGGGCGCTAATTCCTGGAACTGTCTCAGAATTGCATGAAAACTTTGACCTAACTCTAGTCTGACTAATTGTCGGAGACCTTCGTTTAACAGCAACTTTTTGTTTCAGATTAACATCTATTTGACCGGAAAGATCATAACTTTCATCTTTTTTGACATCTGAGAACTGCATAACGCCTACTGCGTGAACTTCACTAGTTGGTGTAATAAACAGTGGCACCTGGTTAAAGTAAGGATTATAGAGTAACGATGATTCTATATGTACGTCTAGCTGAACAATTTGATTTGTAATGGCCATTATCGGGGATCTAAAACACTGGCAGCAAATAAGTTGAGCCAGATTGTCGAACTTTTGAATCGAGCTGGTTAGCTCAAGCTTGTTAGCTTAAAATACCTGATCGCTGCCCGGCTTTTTGCTTATAGCGATCAGCAAAAAATGATGATTGAAAAAAAACTTAAGCGAGTTTGGTAACATCATATTTATTCTTCATAACTTTTCCAGAGGCTGTTTTTAAGTTTTTTTTTTTCTGGGACCAAACTATCATTCTTGTACCTCCAGTTATTTCTAATATTGCTCATAGTTGCTTTTGAAGTTTCTTCGAAATCAAAATTGAAGAAAATCCTGATTATCAGGGGGCCAATAAAATTTTTGCTAAAATCAAGTATCAGGGGGTCAAGTAAATAGGCACCTGAGAGTACGTCTTTTTAATATACTTTGACAGTCCAATTTCTTATCACTATCTGTTTATAAAAATTCCACGAGCAAGTTCTTAATAATTTGCCGGACATGCTCGGTAGAAAACTGCATGTTAAAGTTTTTCGCTGGTAGCTTAAGAATGGCAAGGTTATCACTAGGTCATGAATAATTTCGGTACGACAAAAATAGCAAAGCTATAATGAGACTGTTTTTAAGATACGCGGTACTGAACTACATACACGTATGTTTTATTCAGACCAATAAAGTGACAAATATTTCTTCAACAAAGCATGAAAAACACAGCAACAGCAGCAGTATTATCATTTTCATTGAAAGAACATACGAAATATTTTGGCAGCAGATGTGTAATCCTCTTTTCTAAATTAAACTGTAAAATTCTATCAGTTTTTCACATAAGGAGGTTGCATTCAAATAGAATTGTTTGCAACAAGCTGCCGTGACATACTTCATTCATAAAAGCTATTACTCATTTTTTCAGAAAAAGTGCAGTGTGGTGTAAAAGTGTGAATGAACTCAATGAACAGTCAAAACATCGACAAAAACCATTCGACTTGACTTAGTTAAATAGATTCGGGTGGAATAAATCGCCTAATTTCAACTTGGAAAAACTACATGATAAGCCTCTCCCTGTCCCTGATAAATTGCGTTTAATTTTTCAGGTCGATAAGCTGAACTCGTAATGATGTTGACTATCTTTTGATCAAAATAAGATTTAGTAAGAGTAAATTTCAGATTTACCTTAATTTATTCGATGTAATATAACAGCAACAGTCAATATAACATATGGATAAGCAAGATCAAACCGAGTAATTATGTTACTTTACATAAGTAACTGTACATCATTACCAACTTACGCAAATGCCAACAAATCAAAAGTTATCAAAATCATGAGGACATAACGTTGATTTTGTAAAGGAAGAGGAGACCAAGGGCCGACAACTTAATTAGCGTATGTACATTATGTAGAGAGCGGCAATGGAAGAGCACAACTATAACTGAGTTCTTTTCTTTTCCCGGCTGCACCATTTTTTCACAAAATAATTCAACTTTTTCAGAAAGTAGAGAACCAATTCGACAATATTTGGCCATTTCTAATCAAATTTGTGCATCTTGACATTTTGAACCTCGGCATTTTGCCTAAAAAAATTCATGAATGTCGGATAACAAAGAGCCGAGAGAAGAAGCAGATACGCAAAGGCTTTAAGTACAATTATACTGACGATCTCCCACATATGTCATTGTAACGACAAGGCAAAGTTAGCACTCACGTATGCACATTTAATCAAAATAATAACTTCTTTTTTTTTCCCTTTTGAATATAATCAAAACTTATTTTTTTAGCACTTTTAAGCAGTGTTGAGAACATCAAGCATAATGAGGGATTGTCGCTATTTAACAAAACTTCATTTCATTCATATTTTTACTACCTGGTTTCCACAAATGTATAAGCCCTTTTAACAAATCTCAATATTAACCCAGCAAACTACAATATTAAACATTTATTCAAAGTTGACATATAATGACAACTATAGTTAACAAATAATGATGTCTTTAAATTAAAAATTCAATTGCAATTAAACTGTACCAGTTGTTTATTTTGCATTTTGCTTTACCAGCGATGTTGTTGCATTACAATTTGTAACTTCCTGGGTAACAACCTTTTGTACGTAGTGCAACAGAATGTCGCCTCATGATATTACGTAAGCTTTCCCCTACTATTGCAGCTGTTATGTACCACGGACTCAGCAACATGGTATCGATGTTATGATGATGTCAAGAAATATGTTGCGTGATAGTGACTTCTAATAATGATTTCAGTGTTTTAGTTGAGGAGTGGCGGTCAGCGCACTTAAAATTGTGAGATGTTTTGATGTCGTGTTGTGTTTACAACTCGTCCTTGGAGTGGTCGTCAGTCGGGGCCTCTCCTGTCCCCTCCCCTTCTTCTTCGTCTTCCTCCTCTTCTTCCGCCCCTTCTTCGTCCTCCTTCTGTACTTCGCCCCTCGACTCCACAAAGCTCTTCAGGGCTTCTAGGGTTCGGCCTCCGTTGTACAGAATAGCCTGCAATGCAAGCATTACGCAAACTTTCCATAATCTTTCTTTTGTTTACTATTAATGCACCACCAAAAAACCTTTGATTATTGGTACTTTTAAACAGTGTCAGGTGTGTGCTGACAACCCTTCTAAGTCCTGTCTTCGAAATTGCCCCTAACTTCGGTCATTTTATTTTTCTATAAAAAAAATGGAACAAGTAATATTGCTTTTATATATTCGAGGAAACATCTCTCTTAAGTAAATAGTAACTGTTACCTTGTTGTCTTTTTTTCGGAACAAGTAGATGGTGGGGAATCCCTGGACATCGACAGCTGACACTTCGTTCTTGGTGGAATCTACCTTGGCAATCACTACATCAGTGCTGTCCTGGAAGTGCGCTCCAAGTTCGTCATAGATGGGAGCCAGGGCCTTACAGTGACCGCACCAAGGTGCATCTGAAGTACATTCACATATCCTTCAGCTGGAACCAATCCATTCAGAGATGATCAGATCAATATTCCCTACTCAGTTCAAAAATATAATGATATCAACTGTGAATCCAAAAATTAACAACTATATTTTGAATTTCATCGTTCAAGCCAAATTATTCTATGAGAAGTGAAAACTAACACACAGAGGCGAAACTGAGCTTCGCACCACTTGCGATACAAAAAAATGCACAAGTTCAAAAGATGATGCGTCTCAATCTCAAACGAAAAGTGAAAAATTATTGAACTCTGTTGAAGAAATCGTACGCTAAAAACTCAGAAAAACCTAATTGCTATTTTTAAATAAATCAATTAGAAAAGCATTCTAAAAGAAGAAAGATTCGGGTAAAAATCTCAAAATTAGGCTATTATTAACTTAAAAGCTTTGCTTGAAATTATTCAACCAAACAACCTGCATGTCCTACATGAAAAATTGGAAACACGAAAAGGCCCTATACGTTGCTTCCTATAAACTAAAATCAAAAAATGCTTGCTATAAACTAAAATGATTTCACACAATTGAAGATTGAAATTTCAATAAAACGAATGCAATTTTGCAACTTGCGACAAAAAAGAATTTGCAGAAAATCTGAAAAAAACTCAGAAAGCATATGAAAATAACCCTACTAAATCAAACTTATCAAATATGATGTTTATACGCAACGGCATTAGAGCTGGTTGAAAACAAAAAACAGACGACCAAAATTGTCAGCCAAAAAACCATTTTCTTAAAACTCATGCGACACTCGTCATAATTCTTTCGTAGACATCACAGTCAAGTCAAAATTTGCAAAAAAAAAAGCGTTCTAGGTATTTATAAACTTTTCCGATTCTTTTTGCGATATTGAATCAACACGCTGTTCCATCATCTTGAATCGATTTCAAATGAAATTTATCAAGCCTGAAACACTCCAGACTAACTAAAACTAAAAAAAAAAATCTCGTTAAGAAATATTACAAAATAAACCAGAAACTATGCATTGGAAAAAAAACCGATAATTTATAGCTTATTTTTTTGTTTACCAACCGAAAGTTTTAGAGTATACAAAAACCAGCAAACGCTGAACTATATTTACACTCTAGAAAATGATAGCAACAAGTATTTAAAAATAATTTGTAGAAACTGCTATTAAATTATTGAAACAAAGTGAGCATTAAAGCCGCTAAATTTGGTCGAAAAATTGTTCAAAAATCTAAAACTCAGAAGCTTACTTTCAAGTTATTGAGCGTTCTAGCCTCAATTCAAAAACGTTCAAATAAGCAATGTAAAAGCGTTTAAAAAAGCAGAAACTAAGCTAAAACAAAATCCGAAAGCAACGAAGTCGAAAAGTCAAAAACTAACAAAGAATTTTCATTTAAAAAAAAATTTCGATTGCGAAATTATCGGAAACACATTATTAAGGGATTTATAGACCAATGATCAAAAACATAACATGGCTCATATACTGCATGCATATGCCGTATCCATAAGACATACGCAGTGGCTGTGAGTGCATGCAAGCTGAACCCTATGAAAAAACGTTCTTCACGGGAAAAGTCCCTTACCCGGTTGCAATATCCTTGCTTATCGCAGGGGTAATGAAATCAGCAAAAGAGACAAGCAAAATCAATTATTCCTACAAATTTTTTTGGAAATTTCTAGATATAACCTTCAGCTGGTTGATTGAATAGAAGTTAAAACGTAGTAATAAATTTATTACGATTATTAATATTCAGCTCAGTAGATTTTCATGTTACTACAAAAATGCATGAAAAAGAAGCACAACAAGCTTCAAACTCTTACTCGTACCATCGACGGCCAATAGTACTAAATAAGCAGTACGCTGAGAAAACTAATATTGTGTATATGTGTCAGTGTAAAATCTCAAACAGCTCAAACAGAAATTCACTTAGTCACAATTTGGATACGATATCATTAATGTTTAATGTCAACAAAAAGATGACGCTAGAAAGTAATCTAAACTTGTCTCCTTTTTTCCTGCTGTTCAAATGTAACCAGGCAAAACATTTTATGGTTATTGCAAAATGCAACTTTCAGCTCCTATTTACTTACAATCCACATAATTAAATTAAAATTTAAAAGGATTTCATGTTTGACTGAATCTTGACCGCTGACTTTCAGAGATTTTCGTTAAGACAAATTACGAAGTGGGAAGTAACTATAGCGCAAGATGGATTTTTTCCGCTATTTCAGGTACTTAGAACGCTAGTATACATTCGTCAAAGGTCGAAGGGGAGCTTCCCAGCACAAAATGCGATACATCACTAAAGCATGGCAACCCAGCCGACAAAAAAGACGCAAACCACACAAAAACATTAGCCTACAGTAGTGACAATTAACTTCAGGAGACCATAAAAACGACTGCCTTCTCTTCGTTTATAAATTTAAAACTTTGATTTTTAACAATCTGTATAATTGACTCGTTTTTGCTTAAAATAACCCCATTTGAGAAACTTGGACCCACAGGTAGTTTGTTTATTCCGCTGCAAAATTTCAAAACAAAATCCACGGTAAAACTCAATCATTCAAGTTTTATTTGCCATTTTTGTTTTTGGCGAGCGTAATTTGTCTTCTTTTTGACAATTGAACTTGAATTAAACTTTTATACGATCAGTCAACCGCTATAAATTAAATTTTATTAATCCGGATAGATATCTTTTTTTTCCGTAGGTTGCTAATTTTTTATGAGTCTTAATAATGCTTTAATATTTTAACTTTAAAGCCATAATATTTTATTAGATTAAACTTTTTGATTTAATTACCGTTGAGTCTTCTTTCAACAAAAATCTTTCTTCAAAAAATCTTTCCCTTTTCGGCCAGTTACAGCCACTCAAATCTTCTCAATTTCGTTCCACCGCTAAGAGTTCTCCCACTAATCTCGTTCACAAAATGCATGTTTGAATATTTCTATCATTAAGGTGCTTACACTGCGCCGCCACTTATCTATTCGGCAACCATTATTCATCATTAAGAACTTTTTCCTTTTTAGACAAAAACACGACCAAAATAAATGTCTTCGCATACACAAGCAAAAATATAACCGACAACGCTACTGGGAAAAACTGAATGAGTAAACTTTGAGTTTACAAAATTTCTTAAATTACGCACGCCAATTATGAGTCTACATAATTGCTAAGTGACGCAAGCCAATAATGACGCATTAGCAGTACCAGTCAATTTGAAAAGAAATTTACCAACTAACATGTTTAACAGAGCAGACGCATTTTAACTAGTATACAAAAAAGTTCATTAAAAACATGCGACCCTGCTGAGGTTCGAACCCTCTTATTTTGCTGCTGGTCTCCTTCCCTACCTCTACGCTAAAGAACCATAACACCTTGAAGCTAAAGTACTATTTGTAATAGAATAGTGTGTGTTAAAATCCTTAGCATTTGCTGTACTTAATCGCTGGTTATTGATCTTATGCATATACTGCAATAAAAGAGCACTTTCAAAAAGAGAACTTATTTTTGCGACTTAGGTTGTGAAAAAAGTGAGTTCATAATATCACACAAGCTTTACTTGTGTAAACACATTTGCCATTGTTGAAATGTCGTTTAAGCAGAACTAACGAAACGGTAAAACCTTGAAGCAAAAATAACGAAACGGTAAATGACGAAACAAAAATATTGAAAAAATAAAAAACATTTGAAGACTAGGTCTACCAAAATTTATATTTACGTATGTCTCTATAGAAATTCAATCTCGGCTAACATGCCAGACATTTCAATATCAAATTTAGCAACGGAACAGAAATTACAAAGAGGAAACAAAGCCGACAATCTTTGAGCAGACTGAAGTTGAGCCGAAAAAAATGATTTCATAAGAAAACTTCAGAGTTCAAAGTCCCACCAGAAAATACAATGAACGAATTTTGGACTTGCAACTACAATGAACCTTGCTTACTACACAAGAAAACTCTGTGTAGTAAGCGGCAAGTGATGCGGCAACCAAGCTGACAAACATTGAGCAGAATTTTTTTTTATATGTCATCTTTCAAGTCTCCTCCTGAAACTAGAACCAACAACACTTGGGCTTGCAACAAGCCGATAAGACACCAACAGAACCGAAAAAGACAAAAAGTTAAACGTGAAAAAGAGCCTAGTATCCGGTTGTAGCATCGTAAGGGTAATAAAGCCTTTTCACTCATGGTTCGGTTTCCAAGACGACGATGCCCAAAAAGTTTTTCAGTGTCGAGGAAAATCGGTCAAAATATTTGCGTTTTTCTCAGTAAACTGGTCTGAATGCTGTAAATTGGCCAAATTGCAGCATGCTAATTCGACTAATTAATGATTATCTGATCAGCTACGATCTGATTTTACGACTGTTTTTTTTTACAATGGTCATACTTCAACCTTTTTTTGCCTAATTTGTGAAGCTTAATTTCTCGACGTAAGAAAACAGCAAAGAAAGAGATTTTTGTTTATTTTTGTTAACGAATTTTTCACTACATAAGATGGCTACTACAGTTTTTTTTTCTCAGGATTTTCCTCTTCAATGTGAAAAAACAAAATTCATAGCACAGTGATTTCCATATTTGTGTTGTCACTAAACTCATTGAAGACTATAAAAAGAAAAGCCAAAGGTCCAAAACTAAAATATAACAAAGTTGATCGCACTTACAGAACTCGACAAGGACGTCCTTGGTCTTGTCCATGGCCACTTCTTCGAAGTTCTTTCCAACCAGCACCTTCACAGGCTCTTTGTCCCATCCCTCCGCAATCTCTTCACTCATTAGGTGTCGTTGCACTTTACCATCTAGCACATCCTGCACGAAGGCGGTGAATGTAGCCTCAGTGAATTCAGTCAGGTCGGCTTTGAACTTCTTCATATCGCCGCCCATCTTGATCACGCGAAGCTGAGTGCCGTCTTCGGCCTAAAACGAAAGCTTCTTAAAATCAAATTAACGATTTTCTGTATTTTTTTTTCATCAGAATCTACAGTAAAGTAGTACTAACATGGGCTTTTTTCCAGTTTCCCACCCCCTTCGTGAAATTACGAGATGAAATTGTTTGAAAGTTGATCATAAGGCAATTTGCATGTAAAACATAGCCAACACTGTTAAAAAATTAATCGAAATTAAAAATAGATGGCCTTAAAGCTCTTCAAATTTGTGGAACAATTTAAAATTGAATTCTTTTGACACAGCTGAATGTTTTTAAGAATGAATTTTTTTTGGCTTCGCGACGCTTAATAGGCATGATACACTAACCACAAACAACGCAGAGAACAGATGCTATGCAATTTCCAATGCTACAGTGAAATTTCCAAATAAGTGAACACTTTTAATGAACCCTTTTAAAATCGAATTAGGGTAGAAAAAAAAGAAAATTCGTCATAACACACTACGCTGATGGCTAGTGCAAAAACATTAACCCAATTTGATAAAACTGGATCATTGGGTAAAAATTTGATTTACGCTGACACGTTTTAATGCAGTTTATAACCTGAAAAGTCATTTTGAACAGACTTTCATTTATTGAATTTCAGAAAACTCTAAGGGGGGAGGGGGGACTGGAAAAGACCCGAAATCTGATCATTAAATTCCATTTTCGAAGAAAAAAGTCGATCACGCTTTTCGCAACCTTCAAAACTCTTGCTGTTCGATAGTGAAGTTCGCCTTCCTTTCAACAAAGGAAATGAACTGAACTTAAAAAGAAATCAAAACAAAAAACATCATCGCGAACTATATACGAGTCTGAACTACGTTCAACGACTCTCAAAACAGCTGCAAAATTTTGTTCACTCGTTCACGTTTATTACTATTTAGGTATCAAAAAACATTTTAAATGCTCTTTCATAAATCCGAATTTCAAATCCAAAAATCAAAGGGGGAAGAAATCCGAACGAATTTTATTTCCTTAAAGCTTCTCATTTTGAAGTTATAAATCAATTTTAAAACATAAGTTCAGCACGCAAAAAATTCTTGGAAGATTTAATCAACCTAAAAAACTTAATCAACCGTGTTTGCACCGGTTAAGTTTCTCAAGGTCACCGATATTGCCAACAAATTGGCATTACCTATAATTTTATTGTTAATTTGGCATTACCTCTGATTTTATAGGTAATTTGGCACTAGCTATAATTTCACCAATTTAGCCTACAAAATGACATAACCTATAATTTTAAAACATAGCCAACCGACAGTTGGAAAAAAGTAATGAACGCAAGGAAACTGAAAAAACTACATTGTTTTTTCTCCAAAAACCTTCAACTTTTGAATTTCCAAGAAAAAAATAAATGGCCTTAAAGCTGTTTGAATAATTTATAATGAACAATTTTTTGTTAAAATTAACCTAATTTGAGAAAACTGGATCAATAGGCAAACCTTTTACTTCGCAGGGATTTCTGTTAATTAATTTTACTTTCGAAATTTGAAGTTGATCATATTTTTCGTGACCTTTACACTTTTGCTGTTCGATAGTGGAGTTTGCCTTCCTTCAAACAATAGAAATGCACTGAACTTTGAAATCACTAGTCAAAAATCAAATATGAGCGAGAACAAAACTTAGGATTTTTTCCTGAAAAAAAAATCACTAAGACCTATATAAGAGTACTAACTACGTTCATTACTCTTAAAAAGGTTATTAAAAGTTTTTTAAGAAGTGCATGATATTTATAACAGCCCGTATCTGTGTAAGATGATTAAGAAAATTTAGTATCAAAACTCCGATTTGAAGTTTATTTGGAATGTTTCAAATGACCTTGAGGTTGAAGAATTCCATGACTCTTGCATTGGAGTCCTTGGCGATGTCGAGGTAGACGAACACAGCCTTGCCCTTCAGGCCCTTGGCCGCTTTCTTGAATTCCTCCAACATCTCAGTTGCCTCCTTGACGTTGCAGAAGAAGAGCGCATGTGTCTTGATGTCTCCGCCGAAGATTTGTGGCGCCGTCTGAAAACATACTCGAAATTATTTGAACTACAAAGAATAATAAAAATTATCCAGCAAGTTTCTCTTGAAAATATGTGTGGACCACTCAAAGAAGAGTATGTGTGAACTACTTCATTATTAAACAACGAGGGGAAATAATTCGACTATTAATGCTGTTTGCTTCTCACCTCGTCTGAGAATTCGATGATGTAAGGCAGCTGGGCTTTAGCAACGAAACTCTTCAGCTCTTCCGCGGTCATTTCTCCCTCGAACACCACTTGCGGCTCATCGAACTGAAATGAGTCAGCACATATCGAAACGACTGTTCGCTTGGCATTAAGTATGATAGTTTTTTCCATTAATTTTTTTCTAAATGAATTTCAAAATCTGAATAAATACAGCGAGAACTACCATATTTGCGGGTCTTTCTCATTATAGCCCCCACCCAGTCTAGTAACAAATAATAGCCTCTACACTGGTTTTACTATTATGGGGGTCTATAATTTGCAGGGGTGGGGGTATAATGGGAAAGACCACTCCCTGAATGTGCTAAAACTAAGTGATGCTTTGAGTTACAAGTTTCCTAGAAAAATTTGCCCTGGATCTGATCTCACCTTTCGGAACACTACCACTTTGTCGGCAGCCACCTCATACTTCTCTCGCACTGCAACAACTGTGGAAATGGCAAACTTGACATCGTCCTTGGCTTGAGCTGCGGAGATGAAAGCCTAAACAATTTTTGGCTCTTGGCTTTTTCCTTTTCCCTCAAACAAGCATGAATTTTATGGTGTAACGAGGGGTTTTACAAGAATAAGTAAAAGTATGTTACAATCGGATGATCAGAAAAATGTTTTGTAAAAATTGGCTGGCGTGGGGGGATGATATTAATACTCGAAAGACCACAATTATAATTATAAAGTAATTATTAAGAAACTTGTTTCTAGGCCGAAGTACTTCTTTTGGTTATTTATGGGTTATCTACCTTGGCAGCATCGGAATCGCTCTTTTCGAAAAATCCAATAACTGCAATCTTCTCTGCGTCGATGAATTTCTCTGCCTCCTCCACACTGGTCAGGTCAACTGCTGGCGGTCCGGTCTTCTTCAGAAGCCAGTTCACAATGTCATTCGCCTGTCTGCCTCCTTTAAAGCAAGACTTAATTTATTTACTCCTTATTCATTTTCAAGATTCCACTCCAAGTCAGCAACAAGTTTAGGCTCTCTTTTTTAGAGGCGTGAAATTAATTGGGCAAAAAATTTCTTTGCGGCTCCTTATTTAAAGTGGGCTCTTTTTCCTCCCCCCCCCCCCCCCCCCCCACACCTCACATATACATCAATTTTATGTTGTAACGAGGGGTTTTACAAGGTTAAGTATGAAGACCAAATATGTTTGTCATAGCCTAATTAGTCCGCATACCAATTTTTGTAACAATCCGATGATGTGAATAAAATTTTACTATTAAAATTTCGCTGGTGGGGGGAAAAGGAAAAAGAGCCTTAAAGTGAAACAACAACAAACACTCGAGTTCCAAGTTCCTCTTCACCTTTAGACAATAAGTCTTCATGTCAAAACAATCAGTCTTAATTTTTGTTAGTCAAACCTTAGGCATGATTATGCCGGACCTCATCTATAAAAATACTCGGGAAATACAATGCAAAAACATTTACCGGAATAATCCTTAGGTTCAGTTTTGGCTTCTTTCCTGAAGAATTTGATAGTGGGGTATCCCCTGACTCCGTGATCTTTAGCCAGTGAAGATTCCACAGTAGCATCTACCATGGCAAGTTTCACGGAGAGGTCAGGATAGTCTGAGAGAAGCTTCTGAGCAGCCTTAGCCCATTCGGGAGCCAGAGCTTTACAATGACCACACCAAGGTGCATCTGAAACAAATCAACTATTGTTCATGCATGTTGTGCTCATTTGCGTTTTTTAAATACTGCGAAAAACTATCTGATATCCCCTAGTGACTTTTAATCCTGACTATTACTAAATAACGACTAAGTTGGGCTCTTATCGACTCTCCTCTGAAAAATGGATTTCAGAAAAACTAAATCACCTCGTTATAAATTGAGTAATGATATTTGACATGTTGATAAACTAATTATTCTGAACACACCAGTTTGGCCAATACTTTGAGATTGCGTTATTTGACACAGAGGCAAATACGTTATACAACACAAACATAACAAAACATCATAAGTCGGAAAAAAAATGTTGAAAAAAAACTTAAGAAACCAAAACATTCGTGTACTCAATACAAGAAAACTAGGGGCCAGAGTAAAATTTGGAGGTAGTTGTTTGATATTTTTGGAATTTGCTTTAATGATGCTGGATGAAATGGGTAATTTCAAAAATTGGACCTTAGTTGCTTCTACTAAAATAACTACTGAAAACTTCAAAGAAATTGTAATCTTCCTAAATACATCAAAATTTTCCTCAAAAAAGAGTTTTATGTTTGTTTTATGTGTTATTACGCCTAAATGCGTGATGTTACGCTGTAAAGTATGAAGAACAAATCTGTTCACAGTTGTCGATTTGTTCACCACGCCAAATTTCATTGCATTATGACAACGTTAAGTAAGCTTTTCAAAATTGAATTTGAAAGGGGGGGAACTGGAAAAGAGCCGATAGTTTCTATGAAAATCATAAGTCTAAAAAACGGTCAAAAGTTCAAAAACTTGACTTTCCGAAATGCATCACTTTTTTTCTACAATGAGAAGGTCGTGGCTGCTTAAACATAACCAAAACCTAGAAATGGGCAGGATAGTTTTCGAATCAAAAGTTTCCAAAAAATGATCAAAAATTTGACTGTTATGCAAATCATACCTTTGTGTAAAATATTTGAGTGTAGCCGCTATGCGGGTGAGCTTCCCATAATGCGCTATCTATTGAACCCAAATTCTCAGAATTGGGAGAGTAGTTTTGAGAAAACAACAAAAATCCCGAAATATGGGTCAAACATTCCCCCCACAGACTTTTCAAAGGCTGTAGACAGTAGGATAAAGGAAAGAGACAAGGGGATTAAGCAGGCACACAAGAGAGTATGCGCTCTTTTCATTGACACGCTTTATTGCATTTCGGTAGAGTAGTTTTCTACTGAACTACAGTTTTGTTGAGATGTGCAAAACATTTTGTAATCGTCTCAAAAAAAGTTTAAATAACAAACCCAATCCCATTCTCATTATACCTGATTTAGTCGAGCAGGAATTTTTCGCCGTCGAAACTACAGATTATAAGTTGACTACGCCGATGCCACATAAGCCGCCACCATTTTAATGAGAAAAAACTTACAAAACCTAGGTATTCAAAATCAGACATGGTAAAATGACAAATTACAGTTTTCAAGAATTTAGAGCGTAGAGACATACTTCATCAAAAAATTTTAGCAAAATATTATGCTGTGGAAGTGAAACAATCCAAATGAAGCTACTTACAGAATTCTACTAAGACGTAATCTGCTGAGTCAAGGGCTTCTTGGAATGTGTCGGTGGTTAGAACAAGCACGCCATCTTTGTTTACCTCAACTTCTGCCAGCACAAGGCCGACGAAACTCAGTGCAACGCACACAGATATCATTATCTTGTTCTGTAAATAAATATCAATTTACAAAATGAAGCAACAATGATCGGAAAAAGTCAATAACTTCCGAAAAGGAATCACTTATTTGCCGCGCTTTTTCTAACAAAATTCCCACTTATTCTTAAAAACTGAGTGAAAGACTGGCACAATTATGTGGTTTAAATGTAATTCTATAGATTTTCACCAGAAGAGAAACTGGAAATCTAAAGATGAAAAACTGCAAATTGACAAGAAAATTATTTTAGTTGTTTACCAGATGTTTGATCAATTATAGAAAACAATGAGCAAAGTAAATAGCGCTTCAAATTTTGGCAAACAGCCTTTTTAATTATCTTTTTAGCCTTAACGCACCAACCACCACTTGAAAAACTATTAAGTAGCGAGAACGCCAGGGATACAGCAAACTACTACGAGGGCTTCTAATTCACTGAAGCGCTATAAGGCGATTTTTTTGTCACGAACCTTCCTCACTCAAAGCTCAGCAAACCTGACTTTTCCTAAAGAAAGCTCTGTATATCATTAGTAATTTTTCAAGAAAAGCGGAGATTCAAAAAAGATCTTCGGTCTACATTTTAATTCTAGGTTCAACTCCCGTCAGAAATCTTTTGCTCCGTTCGTTTATTCAAAAAGCTGAACGTTCGTTTATTCAAAAATGGTCGCTAATGATTTTTACGGAATTGATCTCAATTTTTTGATAGTAGCACAACAATTACGTGTTTCATTCAGCTACATAGGTAAATTTCGCCTTGTTTCAATTTAGCTCAATAAGGTGGTGAACTTCGCGTTTGTGGTTTCTTTGAAAAATCACATGAAACTTCATGCTCGGAAAGACCCGTTTGTCGTTCCCTTAAAAATTAACTTTCAAGAGGATGCTGATACTTTTCTCCTTGAACTCAAAAAAGGTTACCGGGAGAGCAATTATGTGAAATTGAGACAGCAGCTGAGACGTATAGGAAAAAGGGTGGCGTGTCACGGAGACGAATACCCGGATAGCCGAAAAATAAATTTGTTCCCGGATAGCCGAAAAATAAATTCGTTCCCGGATAGCCGAAAAGTAAGTTCGTTCCCGGATAGCTGAAATTTTGGGTCTACTTAGCAATTACCTCCCTTCTGCCCTCTTACCCATTTCTTAATTGGGGAGGGGGGAGAGATTCGTTGCTAGGTCCCATAGGGGGTGAAAGAGATTCTACAAACTTACTTAAAAACCTTGTTTTCATTACCCTTTCTCTACCCTTTGTTTCGGTACCCTTTCTCTACCCATCCCCCCACACGCACACACTTAGTACGATCATTCTTTCTTCCCATTCCCTTTCCCCTCCCAATTACTTCCTCTGACTACCCACATTTACCCCCACCATGCCCCCCCCCCCCGTTTTTGGGATTTTTTGAAAAAATTCCGTTTTTCAGCGCGTGCTCCCCTTTAAAATTAGCATATACTGAAAAATTTTAGGGTTTGTCGGCCGAAAATGGAAATCATAAAACATACCAAAGAGGGACCCTTTGGTTGTTGAGGGGGTCAAATCCCTGTAGTAGTCAGACTTTTGCTATTAATTAATTCAATGAGAGCAAAAGTATTAACCAATCAAATCTCTTAAAAATGTTCGGAATTTTGTTAGCTATAACAGGCTGCGCATTTTGTCCAATCAGAATGCGTCTCAAAATTTTCTGATTTAATTTAAATAAAACCGGAGGTATTTAGTTTTTTCGGCTATCCGGGAATGCGGCTCCGTCGGTATGCACCGGAAAAAGGCAGTCTGACAGCCATAACTACCCCAAACATTTCACGAAAACAATGGCAACTTGATTTTCCACTTTGTTAACGGTGTTGGATTTTCCTTGATGGAAAAAATTAAAATACACAAAGAACTTCGATTACACTTGAAAATTAACTAGCATAAAACGCACCTCCGGTGCTTCAAACAGATTAATGAACGTGGAAACATGGGATCTTTTCAAAATCCCATTTTAGATTTTCTCTGAAATTCAGTGTATGATAGTCAAACTTAAATGATTTTTTGGGTTATAGTGTTCTAGCGTGTAACGCACCTTCGGTACTTCGAATTTTCAACAACCCAAGCAAATTATTCCTTGAGTGTACTCTGACAGCACCCAATTACAGGGTTTGTAATTACAAAAATTGCAAATTTTTTATTCAAGTTTTTTATACAAATTTTGAAGAACCATAAAATTTTGTGAAGTTTTAGATAGATAGATATATACATAGATAGATAGATAGATACTTAAATTAGTTATAGAATGACATCTATAAATCGTAATAATACAACAAATTAAACTACATGTCATGAAGTCTGCGCAGCAGGCGATAAGGAAATATTTTCATTTGCCTCTCCATCTTACAGCGAGCAATAGGTGGATCACGACAGCGCAGGTTGTTTGCTGAGTTGTGACATTCGCTCATCTAAATCGGAATTTATAACATTTTGTCAAAAAAAATGATAGCAAAAATGTGCCAGTCGGTCATATTTGGAAGTTTGACCTTGAGAGAAGCAAAAAACATTTAATTTTGGAGTGAAATTTAATTTTTCAAAATTTCGAATGGAACCTGTCATGCACGATTTTCTCGCGATAACTGAAAATCAGAAAAGAGAAGTCAGAACGATCGAGTGACAATCGCGGGAAAGTTGCTAGAAAAATCAGTGGGAAATTGCTATTCGCAATTTCAGTAGCAATAATACTCGAGAGTAGAGCTGTCCCATCTAAAACAGAGACGAGCGCATTCCCACGAACTGGATTGTTGTGATTGGAGTACTATTATTAACTGGACCAGAGTGAACCTTCGGTGGAAAGGTGGACAGCTAGAGTGTCCCAATGGTTCACGAGAACTTACAGTCTAGAGTAAAAACTTGTTCTTGTTATTGAAACTGACTAACATTAAACTCATTTTAGTTACTTTATTGATTCTTGAGTTGCTTACCGACTTATTTACTTCCTGGTTCTTGAGCGTGCTACAATGTGAGTACTAATTTAAATTTCTAGAGTGTTTTTTATAATTGTTATGTTGAGGTAAGGCGAGTTTTAGGTTGATCCATCTGAAATGGATCAAAGTTCCACTGTCTAATAAAAAGTAACTTAACGGATTGTTCCAACCCGGTTTTTAACGGCGTTCATGTATTTTGGGTATCTAGAGACCTGAGTATGGGGACGTTATTAATTCTAGAGTGGGGGGATATTTTAGTAGTAGCCTTTAAGCTGTAACGGGTCGTAGTCTCATGTCACAAGCGAACCGAATTGGCTCCGACTGATTTGAGGTACAAAAACACAAGAGATAGTGTCCCTGACTCTTGAGCCAATGGTTGTAGGGCCTATTTTTCCTAAGCCTCATGTGTGACTGCAGTAGACGAATGTTACATAGTGTTTTTATGGCGCTCCTGGGTGTTTACGACATCAAGACTACGGAGTCGAACCCACTTGAGACAGCTTCGGGCTGAATGCCCATTCTAGAGTACCGGCGGTACGGTTCGACAGGAACGTGCAAACCTTCCGGTTGTACCGTGATAGCTTTTTAAGAAAACTCAAGAAAACTTCCTGGTACGCTCTCCGAACGAGGCTTAGCTAACCGAGTAAAGGGGGGCAACTAGGGGGACAAAAACACGAGCAAAAAGACAAAAAGCGAAACAAAAACCATAAAACGAAAAAAGACAGTGACTTTGACACCAGATTAGTTGGATCAAACCTTTATATTAATTAAATAGTATACCCATACTGTTTTACAAGTTCGATCGTTTCGATCAACCTAGTAATTTAATCCAGTAACCTTAATAAAGTGCCCGAGTGTGGGGCGTTGTCAAGGGTTTTCAGATTGCTTGGAACTTAGCTGGACAACAAGGAGACTTGACTGGAAGAGGTGACCAGCCGAGTGGGAAGATTGTTCAGGAGCACTTGATCTGAACCAATAGGAGACTCGACTGGAACAGGTGACCGGCCGAGTGGGAAACTGGTTCAGGAAAACTTGAGCTGTAGGAGACTGAACTAATAGGAGACTGAGCTGGAACAGGTGATCAGTCGAGTGGGAAAGCAGCCAAGAAGGATTTGACAGTTCTCGAGTTCTCAAGTTGGGCAGAACGGGTATCGTTACAATTCACATTACATTATAGGAAATAAGTGTAAAATTGGATAAGCGATATCCCCCGGTTTTGAGAACCGTTTTTACTTGAGCAGGCCTGGAGACAGGTCTACGGTTTTCTCTTGAGAGGTTTAGCACCCGGCGCTTAAGGTAATTTTAGGTTTAAGAAGGGGGGCTAAAAAGGGGGAGGTTAGAAGGGGGGCTGGTTAAGTTAGAGGTTGGCGGTAGTAAATTGTAAAAAGGGGGGAAATTAGAGTAACTAATTAGTCGACATCGTTGATTTAGTTACATTAGTCATTTACACGCGTTGGTCATAGGAAGCGGATATCCAAAATTGGAATTAGGTTAAGGTAGGTACCCTGGTCGGATCGGTAGGGGGGAACGGACATAGACAGTTTTTGTGATACCCCATAAGATCGCTAGCAGGGGGGAAGGAAACGCGTGGCAATTAGGTACCAGACATTTTTTTCGATAGAAGGTAGACATTTGTCACCTTTGAATTTTAGGTGGGCTCATCTTTCTGTTTTTATTACTTTTTCTTGCTTAGATTTTTGTTGCATTTTGGTGAGGATTTGTGTTAAAATTTTGTACGAACAGGTAATCACAAGATACCTGCGCACAGGTTTTGGTCTCAAGTTACTTGGAACATTGAAATAGAGGTAGCCAAAAAGAGAAATAAGAAAAAGGGGGGTCAGCATTTGGCTTTTAAGAGAGGATTTTGGGAAAATTTTACTAGAGCTTGAGTGGTGGTACAAGGTACGGCGAATCAAGAAGTCCCCATAACGAAGAGGAAAGAAGTCCCACCACCCAGACACTTGTAAACAGTCTTGGGACAGTGCCGAAGAAGTCTTAGGACAGAGCAGTCTGGGGACAGTCTTGGGACAGTACAGTCTTGGGACAGTGGTCTTGGGAC